ATATTCAGAACTGATTTATTTTTAGCTCCATCAGAAACTGAATTGCTTATGCTAATGAGGCAAATATTGTAAACAAGGATTCCCCTATAAGCATTAAAACGGAAATTTTCTCTAAGTGTGGCTGTTTCATCTTTCCAGCCCCCAGGGCCAGTTTGAAACCAAAAATTAGAGGTACTAATGATGTCTGCTGACTAGCCTGCAAACAGGATGGTCAGCAGACTTATTTAAAATCGCGCCCAGCCGATTTGAAATTATTCGCCTAAAGTCCCGCGATATCTCAATTGTTACCATCAATTATCGTCGTTAATTCTCATTCAATCTCTTGTAAAATCTGATGAAGAACGGATAAAGTTGTTGTACGACCGCGAGCGAACCCTTTCTTCGCCTCACTGAAGAGAATATTTTTAGCTGGCGGTGAGAAAATTATGCTTTATTCCCTAGTTCTAAATTTTTTAATCGAATTGCCTATCTGTTTGACAGTTTATTACCACAATTCGGCCAATTTATACTTTGATCAGTCATGCCTACAAATCAAAAAGTCTAATAATGTTCAATAAAACACCGACATCCCGTTTAGAGTGGGGTTGGCAAGAGTAATTGTCTCCTGCTATCTTTCCCTTTTATTCCCTCATTTATTTATTTTTCTCCCTTTCTATCTCGTTTAGATTGTGAAAAATTGGTCTAATAAATACTTTAATCAAGGATAAAAAGCTTCGAGGGAATAGTACCAAACGCTTTCGGAAACTGAATAAACCTTAACTACACTGTTAAAACTGAGCTCGATTGAGCAATCGAAGTTCACCAGTTGGTTAAGGTTGAGCTCAGGTATATTAAAAGCAGGGAAATAAAAAATTCTTGTTAATTATGAAGCCAAGCCCTAAGTTAGTAACAAAGCGAAGCAGGTATGATTGTATCGGTAAACCTCCACGGCAGTCCGCGGATGGTGTCTAGATATTTTGAACCCAGTCATGTTAAGCCCATGGGGTTGCTACGATTACAGTAACAAAAACGTGCACGTGTTCAAAAAGTTTAAGAAAAGTACCTTATGCTATTACAAGCTTTAGTATATTCTAGTTAAGTATTCCCGCTACTTAAACTCAAAATATCCTTTGCTCTTCACCTCCGAACAACAGCACGGGACTTGCGCGCGAAAACTTGCGCAAGAAAACACTGTAATTATTGCTGTTATAACTGAGTTAAAATCATCTTTTTGTGCTATGTCATCTCACTGTTTTACCATATTCTGTCATTGGATTGTGGTGGACATTTATCAGGCTACTTCCCTGCTCGGTAAATATCCACCGCCAACCACCTCCATCCCGGTGAATGGTCGTTGATTTCCAAATGTTTCTGGAATCAAAGTAAAACTGCTAAACTTTTTCCTGCTCTTGTAAAAAATTATTAGAAGGCAGATACTATAAAATATTTACTAATACTGCCTATTTTTTTTTAGGGGGGGGGGATCGTAGAAAAGTACTTCTTAGAAAGAAAATGAAACTAATTGTTCATGTTAAGAGAGAATTGCCATATTTGAGAATACTTGTCCTTGTCACAGTTATCTACGGTCACATGTTGTCCACTGTTGACGTCTTTGCTATCCAGGCACAAGCCAGATTGTCTGTGACGCAGAGTGCGTTTAGGGGTGTGTTCCCACATCTAAATAGAAAAGTAATCACGCCATTTTACGATAAAGTTTGTGAATGTTTTTTAAAAAGTTCAAATGCGCTAGTGAGCTGTACATTCCCCGGCCAGAGTGCACGCTAGGAAAAGAAATTATTTCCTCTCCTATGCTTAAAGCATAGCAGAGGGAACTCTTAAACTACATTTCAACTAACACGTTAAAGACGTTGGAAACGAATGGTTTCGGAAGCGATCGCTGCTCTCGGTGACAACTCAGGAAATTCCTAGTGACAGATCTTCAGTGCTCTTCAATCTTTCCGCGTGGTGCATATCTCGATGAACGCGCGCTGATGAATGGACTAATATTTGATTCAGTTAAGGTGATCCCTCAGTATTGTGCTGTGCATCCTGAACTCTGCATAAAAAGATCGTTAATAAGGCAAATAGGCGCGCGCGCATTCTGAGAACAAGGTATTGTTGTTCAATAAATGGACCAGGTAAAGAGGTACGATGGTCTTTCGCTCTTAATAATTGCATAATTTCGGTGTACAAAATTATCCCCTTTAAATCGGATAAATTGAAAAAAAAAAAAAAAAAACCTCATCGAAGGGAGAAAAAGCTACAGCTAAGAACGTGCACGAAGCCCGTTACTCGATGATGCAAATTAATACCTTGAAAGCAACGACTCGAGGAACGTTTTGAGTCGATGTCGTTTAAAAATAGCGTGATTTTCCACAAACAAGTTGTTTCATACGCTCGAGACTTTCTTCTTATCAAGTTTTTTTTCCAAGTGTAATTTCAAAAATCCTTGCTTCCAGCTACTTCAAAATATACCTTGAACCGGTGAAAGTTTGGCTTACCCTATCTCTTATACAAGAATGGTGACCTATATTTTCAAGTGCATTATTAGACATAGAGACTGGAAAGGAGTATTTAAGGAAAGTTAAAAAAGAAAAAAAAAATGTTCGATAACTTTTTTTTTCTAAGGAATCATCTGAAGGTCTCAGTACTTCAAAAAGCATCCTAGCTGTGCATGATATCACGCGTAACTACATGCAGCGTGAGTATATTAACAAAATAACGGCGATTCTTTAAGACTGGAGCTCGCCAGTGAAATATCGTGCAGACAGTTAATAACCCATCTCCGAGAAGACTAGAGATTACATAACTAACGTGAATTGGTAAGTGCAGTGGAAAATTCGCCTCAATAATCTCGCACTCTTGATCTCCAATGCAGAAGTTGGCCATGCACTTATTGGGGCTACCTAAGCTTGGTTTATCTTCACGCATGTACATGAAATCGTTGTGGGATTTACTAACCTGTTTGTTGTCACTATCTCGGCAGCTCTCGATAGCAACTGGCTTTCCAGGCGAAGAATCTTTGAGCGTCAAACACATGTCGTGGTGACGCACTAAACTTGTTTTTGTGAGGGCCCACTCCTGGAGCAGTAAAAAAAAAAAAAAAGAAAAATAGAATCAGGGCTACAAATTGATGGCGTTAGCCAAAGAGTGTCCGGTTGGGAGCCAAAGAGAGAAGCCACTCTATTTCACGCTGTTAGAGACTTAAAAATAGGGGAATCGTTTTGGCAAGAACCTCTTGGCTATCTCGTTTTCCTCGGGTATATCCTTGCTGGCAAGCGACACTGTGCATCATTTTACCACACGTGTTTGTGTTTGTCGCACCATTTGGTAACGCAATACCTGATTTCCTGCCTGCCCGTGACAATCGAATAGGCCAATAGAGCCGCCGGCCTGGCTACCAAGTGTATCCAGACATTTCTTGCCTTGCTTTAACTCCCCAAAGGACACATCCTTTGAATCAGGCACTCTACAATCAAGAACAGAAATGGAGAATATGATGGTTGAGAGTCGAACGTAATTCAGGATTGATTTGCAGTGTTCTGGTTTAGAGAACCCTCTCCGAAAAGTGGATGCAGGCGACGTCACCCCATTGCACGGCCGCCCCAAATTCGATCGCTTCCCAGTGAACTTCGGATGCCCTGAAGTACGGCTGCGTCGTCCCCAAATAGAAGTTGCGTCGCCCTCCACTATTAAAAAACTTAAGTAAACTTAGATAAAAAAAATGTGGGCGACGCGGTTTTAAGTTGGAGGCGACGCGACAATACTACGGGGTAACAGAACTACACTCAGGAGCGACAGACCTTGGGAGGACAATGCAAGGGGGTGGCGTCACCTGTTACCTCGAAAAGTATAATGATTTTACCAGTTTGCAGTACCATGACCATGAAATACTTGAAAAATTGAAAGTGATTTTTCTTGCTAGATGTTTTTGCTTACGTAAGCTATATTATTTTCTATTACACGACTCGGGAAGTCAGAGGGCCAATAACTAAAATCAACCAATCAAAATGCTCTATTGCCGGTCAATATTCTCTCAGTATTGGACCGGGCACTGTCCCGAATGGTCCCGAATGATACCGCACTTGTGTCCCTTTGAACTTCAGTCGT